GCCACATATGAATCATCGGACTAGGATAAGTCTAGGGTCTAGGTGGCGAGGGCGATGACGACATTGCTTATGTGTGCTTAAACGAGGGATACGAAGTGGAATTATTAGAATAGCATCTCCTACCTCGAAGACCTTCTACAAGAGAGAGGAAAGGATCGAGGATGCTATTCGCCGACTCTTGGTGGGATTGTTGCCCCCGACACTCTTAGGTTGTCAGTAGTTCTAGCACGATTAGAGTGACTAATCTGTGGACTGTACGACTTTACAAAATATTTATAAAAATGAAACAACAATTTCTTTTGCATGATTAAAAGAACTCTTCATAAAAAAGACTTAAATAATAACTTTTGCATGAAAAATCTTCCTGTGAAAATTTATAAAGGTCCATCGAAAAAAGTTGACCGACAAAGTTGCATCAATATCAATATCTACCCATGGCCCAACTTCTTGAATTTCATGATATTCCCTAGCATGACGACTAGTAGCTGCAATTCTTCCAAAGCGTGAAAAGTGCAAAATATTTATTTTACCAATATTGTTGATAAAGTTTGTCGGGCTTCCTTTAATCATGGTAAGAAAAAGGGTGTTCTTCCAGGAAACATTTCTTGACGAGTGGGTAATATCCAGTGATTAGGAAAATGTGCCATCGTGCTTAAATCTTGAAGAAGATGACAGAAATTGAAAAAATCTCTACAAACGTCAGGTATCCGCTCATTTTTTATTGACTGGATTATCACACTTAAAAGGCCTTTTGTTTCACTCAATGAATTGATTTTTCACCCGTCTTTTTGGTCAGATCCTAGCCTTGCTTCTACCTATAGCACTAGGCTAAGTCGAGTTGAGAAAAGGTGAGTTGGTTCAGCCATGAAATATTTTCACTAAGAAGTCATCCCAGACAACCACCCATAGTTATCAAGGGTGACTACGTGCGTGCCATAGGTTCCCTCACAACCACAAACACCCTCGGTGCCCATAATAATACTAAAATACAGCTAAGATCACAGCTGAAAGAGAAATGTAACAAGCAGCAACCGCATCAGAACAACAAAAACTACCTTTTCAAGAAAGCTATTTCCCTGCTTAGGCACCACTTAATTTTTTTCTCATGGTTATTTTCCCAAAAATGAGAGCAACGCTTCACACGCACAATGAGTGGTTTAAGCCGACCCCACGTAGTGGGATTAAGGCTTTGTTGTTGTTGTTGTTGGTTATTTTCCCAAAAATCTTGTTTATATTGTTCAAGAAAGCAGAAGCAGACAAACACATCGATTAGAACAAGACTGAAGATTTGGCCAAACAGCTCCATAATCCAAGAATGCAGAATAATACATATTTTTACGGAAGTGAGCACAATTAGCTAGCTTCCACTGTCATCCGGAGGAGTAAAGTGCCCAAATAGTCCTCTGACTATTTCCATGAGACCATTTTAGTCCCAGAGTCGATCAAAGTGCCAAATTAGTCCCCAAACTCTTTATGAGCTAAAATTATCCCCATAGAGAACCATTTTAGCCGTCATTAAATGATTCTGGGACTCAATTGAACTTTATAGACACCGAAAGTAAAGTAGCCCCCAATTAAGAGTTGGGGAATCACTTTGGCAATTTTCTCCAAAGATATATATGTAAATCAGTAAGTTGCATGGCTTACCATAACTTTAATTATTGAATTTTCATCGTACAGGCTTTCATTCGTAGATTCTTGAGATGGACTGCTGTTATCTTCTGGCAACTTATTGCTCGAACTGGAGGTGGTCTGAGAAAAAATACGAGCTGAAACATCCGCATGCGCCTCAGCCATAATATCGCTTTTAGAGTGAGCATTGACATCTTTAAGACGGTGTATTTTAAGGAACTCTTCGAATCTATCTTTGCCCATCTGCAGCTTAAACCACTCATTGTGCGTGTGAAGCGTTGCTCTCATTAGCTTCATAAGTTGAGGTTCTTCGATACCAAGCCTTCTGCCCATAGCAACCTATGGTGCCAAAAGTAAATTGCAGATTAAAAAGGTACAAAAATAAATTGCAGATTAAACAGGCATTTCAGGTTCTGAGATATAAATATCAATAAATCACAAATTTAATGATTCCAAAGTAGCCAGAAATAAGTTTGATACAGACCAAGACGAATTTTCACCACAAATTAGGGCAAACAAAATACTTCTCACCAATAACTCAAAACGAGGTAGGCGAAGTCTCCCAACACCTAAAATTCAATACGTAGGGGATCCCTCCCAAACCCTAACCGTAAGTCTCAAGACCACAATCTCATGCATAACCCTAATCCAAAACATATTATTCTATTTACACTCCATAATAATAAATAATAAATTACTAAATTGTCCTTAGCATCTGTATAATAATACTCCCCTCCCAAAAAAAACACATTGTTCTCAAAGTGGAAAAAAAAGATAGTGTTGGATCAAATCGTTCGGCTCCCACGTGGCGTCCTCATCTGACAATCTTTTCCATTTATCAGAAATTTGAAGTAACCCTCATGAGTTTGAATGCAATGTTGTGTGCATCCTTTGGTCACATCTGAATTTGTTGGTACCTTAACTTCAAGTCAATATTGGAAAGCTCTTTTGATACTAGAGTTAACCCAAACCACAAAAGAAATATAATATTTTTGTTGAAATTCAAATAGATTACGACGGCAACTCTTCAAAACAAATAATAAATAATAAATAACCTAAAAAGACACTCTGGGGCGATGGTGAAGGCGGCTAGTGGCGGTTGGCCAACAGGTAGTTATGTTGATAAGAGGTGGTGGTGGCAGCCGGGTGGTTGGAAGATGATTTTAGCAACAAAGGGAAGGCAAAGGAATGGCTATAGTGGTTGTCAGGGAGCTGGGATGGGATGGTGGTTGTCCTGGATGGGTTGGAGAGCTGTGGAGGGCCGTTGGAGATGTGGGATGGGCTGGATAAAAGATTGGGGCTATCATAGGTAGGCGGCAAAGGGATTGTGACACAATAGGAGGGACTGGGGGTGGAGACGCAGCAGGTAGGGCGTAAGGGACTTGCAACCAGCATAGGAGGTTGTAGGTGAGTCTACGACAACTGTAAGTAGAGGTTTTGGGGTTAGTGGCTCGAAGCATGGTGGAGAAGGGTGTAGGATAGAAGATACGGTCTGAGGGAAGGGATGGTGGCAATAACTCCGGACAGGGGTGGGAGCAGCGGCAACAGCAAGGGCTAAAGCAGGAGGTTTGCAACAGTGAAACATGAAAGGTGGGAATGCTGAGAAGATTGCAGCGAGCGGATGAGAAGAGTATGAAAGGATAACTATCCCCACGAGAGCGAGTTACAGTCGAAGCACCCCTCGAACTCTTGGAGAACACCAACATGGATGAGTTACAGCTGGAGCGCCTTCTCGCCTTTGAATGCAGCTTTATACAGGAAAAAAATCGTCGACGACTAGCTTGAATAGAAACTAAGCATAAACTAAACTTAAAACATAGAAAGTGACATATAAATAGTAGTAGCTAATTAAAGAGCCCTCAACCACTGTAAGTAGAGGTTTTGGGGTCAGCGACTGGAAGCATGGTGGAGAAGGGTGTGGGATAGAAGATACTGTCTGAGGGAAGGGATGGAGCCAATAACTCCGGACAGAGGTGGGAGCAGCAGCAACAGCAAGGGCTGGAGCGAGAGGTTTGTGATAGTGAAACAGGAAAGGTAGGAATGCTAGGAAGATTGTAGCGAGCAGATGAGAAGAGTATGAAAGGATAACTATCCTCACAAGAGCGAATTACAGTTGAAGCACCCCTCGAACTCTTGGAGATCACTAACTTGGACGAGTTACAGCTGGAGCGCCTTCTCGCCTTTGAATGCAGCTCTATACGGGAAAAAAATCGTCGACGACTAGCTTTAATAGAAACTCAACAAAAACTAAACTTAAAACATAGAAAGTGATATATAAATAGTAGTAGATAATTAAAGAGCCCTCCCCTCATTTGGGCGCTAGGGGTATCAATTCGAGTCAACGGGTCGGGTTTAGGTATGACCCGACACGAATAGGGGCAACCCAACCAGACCCGAATAATAAATTGGTAGAATTCTTAGACACAAACCCCTAAAAAAATTTGGGTTAACCATAACCCAGATTTTTTTAGTCGAGTTTGACTCGTGTTGGCATGTCGAGTCAATTTTTGACACCTCTATTGGGCGGAAACCTAGCCCCCAAGATAAGGATCAACCGCCCCTATGATACCCCTTGTTGAAGTGGTTTAGTAGTCCGCTTCAGCCCCAGGGTAAGCCTCGCATCAGACTCTCTGGGTGGGGGAGCTTCAACTTCATTCGTTAAAGCTTCTATTTTTTTCGTCAGCGATCCTAGCAACACCGGAATCCCACTATCGGCTAAACTATTTCCTAAAGTAATCCAAAGGTCGCTTAACCAGGCCTGAAGTTGGATTAACACGAGCCTCCATGAACGATGGTGGTCGTTGTGGTAAGATATCAATCATGTTGTTCTGAAATACTCTCTATTGTGGCTGCCCCGTGTCTGGAATCAACGCCTCAACCGTATCATCTTTAATTATCACCAAAACTGTTCCCACTTGTGTTTTTTTTCTACCGACAATGGCACCTCTGATCTTGAGCTTTCCAGAAGGTAGAAGGACCATGTGCTTCTCATCCTTGGGGAAGGAGTAGGTGTTCTCAAGCCCATCTTGTTGAGTCCTAGGGTCGAATTACCACGGTCTCCCCAACAACAGGTGGAAGGCATTCGTGGGAACAGCATCGCACCACACATAATCCTACAACTAGCTTCCAATCGAGAACTCCACTAGGCACACATCAATGTTGACCTTGTTCTCCTTCAATCATCTCAAAAAATACGGCTAGGAGTACCTTTGAGTCATGTGGCCCGACTTCGCCACTGTCTGTGTAGATGTCGGGTTCTTACTATTCCCTTCATCGATGATGAAACTGCACACTTTCTTGTTTATAGTGCAACTACTGTCTGTGACAAAGCCACTGATAATCTCTCGTATCCTCATTCTGTAGAACCCATCGAAGCACGGGCATCTCACATTCATCCAATGGAAGATTATACACCTCACCCTGTTCCATAATTGTTTCCTCGTTGCTAACCTCTTCCACAACACCCTGCTCAGAAAAAAACAACTCGACTCATCGGGTAGCTGAAGGCGATGCGCCCAAATTCATGGTATTTAAAGAATTTTATGGCAGGGATTGTAATAGGTGTGCTACTCTTCTCAGGCTCTTCTCATTGGAAGTAGCTCTATCCTTATTTGAATTAATTTTCTCAACTTCCTGAGGTGTGCTCCTGCTGGTGTATCCAACTGTGAGTGTTGCCTGACTGGTGGTGGTCTACCATGTTTTTGTTGTCTTTCCACTTTCAATGCTAAGGTCTGGACAACTCAAAGTGAACAATAAAGCTACAGCTGCATCACATTACTACTAACGGGCGTCAAACCCCTCAGATAGTGAGTTATAGTGTGTTCCTTTGGCTTGACCAAATCACACGTCATCTGCAATTGGTCAAACTGCGTTGTAATCTCCTCCACTGATAGGTCTCTATGCTGCAGGTGGTGGAGTCCTGGAAACATATCATGACAGTAGTGAAAAGGTAGGTGTTTTCTCTACATCGTCTTTCACATCTTCTCCAACTTGGTAATCTTATCATTACCTTCTCTCTTCCTCTGCATCTGCAAGTTTTCCTACCACAAGTAGGCACTCTATTACGATTTGATAGTTGTAAGCTTCATCATTTTATCTTTTGACATCTCTTTGTACTTGAAAATCCGCTCAACTGATAGTAACCATTCGATAAAGTCGTGTGGATCTATACCTCCATCGAACACCAGTAAATCCACATTTTTTTCTGAATTCCTTATGTCCTCCATAGGTCACCTCTTTCGGTCTCCTATGATATTAGATTCCAAAGCGTCATGGTCTTTTTTCTTCATCACTGAAATCCTCTCTATAAATGTAGTTGAATTCTTGTCTCTTTCGCCTCTTCGACTTTCCCTATCACTATCGAGGTAAGTCCCCCTGGGTTTCATCCTCAATGCCCGTAAGTTTCTATTGAAGTCGACGGATCCCTCATTGTATTTCTTCTTATGAATGTTCGGGCATCTATCTTTGGTTACATGACTAACGTTTAAAGTTGAGAGTGAAAGAGTAAAATTGATTTAGGGTTACTAATTTTGAAAATCAACAAAGAAAAATTCGGGTTAGGTCAAAATTTGGCTATGGGTTGGGAATAGTTAAAAAAATTTGGTGGAAGGGTGAGGAGGATGATGGAAAGCCTAAAATGGTCTAGAGTTATGATAGCTCTGATATCAAATGATACCGGAGTTAACCCAAACAACAATAACAATAACAACAACAAAACCTTTATCCCACTATGTAAGGTCAGCTACATGAATCCTTTTTCTCCATTGCGTCTTATTTAGTGTCAGATTTTCAGATTTTCATTTAATTCTAATAAATAATTCTAATAAATTAAGATCATTTTTTATACAATATGCCCAACAAAAGAAATAAAATATTATTGCTAAAATTCAAATACATTACAATGACGACCCTTCAAAATAGAAAATAAACGATAAGAAATCTAGCAAGACACCCTAGGGCGACGACAAATGGGGTGAGTGACGGCTGGTCAACAGGTAGGTTTGTTGGTAAGAGGTTGTGGTGGTAGCCGAGTGGTTGGAAGATGGTGACGCAGGGGCTAATGGTCCAGCAGGGAGGTTAAACCGGCCGACTGTTTTGGGTGGAAAACTTTGTGTGGGATTTACAGCCCCCTTTACCCCTATTCTCCCACCTATCTTATTATATATTCATTGCATGTTGTTTAGGGTCTAGTTTTTTATTGTCTTTGATTTCAATTTATTGTCTCTAAGGCGTTTCTCCCTTCTGAGAGCTATATCCAACAGCGAGAAAGTGTTTCGGTCGTAACTCGTTTGAGAAGGTGATTATCCCCATTATTTCTCCTCCCTGTTGTCTCTAGCCCT